GATATAGATTTATATTAGAGTTTGATTATATAGTCCAAACAGACGTTTAAAGTTGACAGATGCCTTTCACCTGCCCAAACATAAAACAAAAAAATCATCTCTAACTGACTTTTACACACTGCACATTACATACTTGTGTTAATACAGAGATATATTACCTTTGCAAGTTTTGGGTTTTCAGAAGAAGGGGACCAGACACCAATGAAAACAGGTAGCCCAGATTATCCAGGCTCTCAGAATGCCTCTGTTGTAGTTTCCTCAGAGTTCTGCATCCAGAACAATTTCAAGGCTGTTGGCTGAGATGGTCCACCCTCACAGAGCATTCTAGCCAGGATTTGACAATTATCCTAATTTGCTCAGGGTCCCCCCAAAGATTCAAGAACCCATAGACAACAGGAAGCAGTCTAGAGAACACAACTTCCACATTCCCAAGAGATATGATGGGTAGATTTTGGTCATTCAGTAGGTTGCACATGTCTATCATTGTGTAGAAGGGCTGGTTACAAGTTGTTATTGGCAGGAAAAAAAAGGGGAACAAAGGAGATTAGATCCAGTCATCTCATTCTAAAAAAGGGGGATATATAAAATGATAGGATAAAAGGATAGAATATTTTATCTGTCTTTCAAACTGAAAAAAAACCAACTAGTAGTATCAAATATTTTATATTGGTATGGATTGTGGTATATTGATACAAATTTAAAGTTATTTTTGTTATAATGAATGAATGTTTCTACTCTTGTTTGGGGTATTGTGCTTATGCAGCTCATTTAAAATATAATATACAATTAAGAATTGTAGGTTATTAGTCATCTATAATAATCAAATTTGTAGTTATATTAGATATGTTTGTGAGGTTAAACAGATATATTTTAGATAAATACTCATCTATTTATAAATAGATGAGTATTTATCTAAAATATATCTTCAGATACCTACAGAATACAGCATTTAAGATGTTTTATAACCTGAGGCTATTCATGACAATGAAACACCTCTGCTCCTGGCAGTACCATCATTATAGTTCATATAAGGAAGACGGTCACTGAAGAAACTCCATATGGAGTTTGATTTCATTGTGGCAAGTTTAGCCAATGGGCAAAGATACTGTCCTTTCCTTGACTGCTGACAGTATGCGGTACAAACTCAGCATGCAGAATACACAGGAAAGTGACTGCTGAAATTTGCAAAAACAAGGCAGGACAGTCCTTCCAAATTCCTGCTTCATAGAAAAGTCTGCCAGACATTCTTCAGGACACTCAGGGAAGTGACTGCTAAACTTTGCCAAAACAAGGAAGGATAGTCCTTCAAAATTGCTGTTTCATTGAAAAGTTTGTCCGATATTCTAGGCCTGTAGGCAAAAAATAGATGCTCCAACACTGCAGAGGAAATGTGGGTGACTGTCCAGGAAGTTAGATATCTGTCATGTCTATAGATTTGGAAGTGGCTTGCTCTGAACTTCCTGTTTACTCAGGTAATATTATGTCCTTCTGTGGTCTTTAATGGAGTTGAAGACTAGATAGTTGTAATTATAGTTCTCCTTAGTTATGATAGAAGGTAAATTAGGTACAGAGCTTTGGACCCACCAAGATAGAAAATAATAAAGTATTTTCTCCAGAATTACCAAATACAAATGAACTACATATTGTGAATGTAATTCTTACCTGATAATTGCTCTTATTATACATAGCTTTACTGTGCTAGAGTTAAACCCTTTTATTTTTATTTAAATAAAAAGGGGAAATGATGTGGAACAATTTTTTTGTAATCTGTGAAAATATGTCATTCTGATTGCTTTAGTAAAAAGCTGATCAGCCAATAGTTAGGCAGGATTTTCAGGTACACAGTACACTGGGAAGAAGAAGGTGGAGAAGCCACCCAGACACGGAACAAGGTGAACACACAAAATGAGACAGAGGTAAAAGCCACATGATAGAACCTAGATTAATAAAAATATGAGTTAATTTAAGCTATAAGAGCTAGTTAGAAATAAGCCTAAGCCATCACCAAGCTTTTATAATTAATAAGAAGCCTCCGTGTAGTTTAAGAGCTGGCAGATAGGACAGAAAAATCTGCCTACAGGGATTCATAGTGTTTGGCTAATTTAATCAAGGTCAACCTATTTCTTCCCTTAAGCAGTCTAGTATATGAGCCATATGGAGACAGACCAGAAAGTGCCAAAATAATTCAAAAGATACCCATGAATCAAGACAGGAAAACTTTTCTTTTCTAAACTGCTGATAAAACAATATTTTACTATGAAGTGATATTTTCCATTGGCTTAAATCTTGTTATAGTTTGATTTTAAATATTCAGTGATCCAGGTCCTAAAGGCTTAGTCCTCAGCTGTATGATATTAGGATGTGGTGGAAAGTTGAACAGGTAAGATCTAACGGAACATTTCAGGACACTAGAGAGTTTCATTGAAAAGGGATAGTGAAACACTAGTGTTTTCCTCTTCCTTTCCTATTTACTACCCATGACATAAGCACTTAATATGACATAGCTCCCCAGCATAACAAACTATGTTTCCATAGGCCTCAAACCACAAGGATAATTGACAACAAAACTGAACCTCTAAATATGTGAGGCAAAATGAACCTTTCTCATAAATTATTTTGTTATTTCTTATTGTCTTATTTACTTCTCTATTGCTGTGATAAGGCACAATGACCAAGGCAACTCATAGAGAAAAGAGTTAAGGCTTACAGTTTCAGAGTTTTAGAGTCAATGACCATCATGGCAGGGCGCGTGATATCAAGCACACGTGACACTGGAGCACTAACTAGATCTTACATCTTGACCCATAAGCAAAAATGAGGCAGAGAGAGAAAACTGGGATTGGGCAGGCACTTTAAACCCCAAAGACTACCCACACTGATGGACCTCTTCCAAAAATGCCTTACCTCCTTGTCCTTCCCAAACAATTCCACCAACTAGCAACCATGTACCCAAATATATGATCATCTGGGTGCCATTCTCATTCAAACCACCACAGTTGTTATAGTATACCTCACAAGTTTTGCACGTATATACATGTATTATTATTATTAATAGATCCTTAATTTCGAGAAGTAGTTGTAAAGTTCTTTGATGGGGGAAACTACATTCTTCAGAACCCTTCTGTGACAGGTTATACCATGTCACATTGTTCTGGCCAATGAGATTTAAGTAGAATTTTACTTGTGGGGTTTCCAAGCCAACCACTGTTTATCTTGAAACAGAGACTTTAAGAGTATTTTCTCTTTTGTCCTGAACATTTGGATTTAGCTTAAGGAAAATCAGTAATCTTCTTTGAGGACCTTGATGGTAAGGACTGAATATGTCTCCTAAGGTTGTGTTTCCTTATGACAGCTAAAAGGAATGAATTGTTTCTTTAAGGGGTCCTTCCCTATTTACCTAATTTTGTGATTATGAAAATGTATTGTTAATTTCTCATAGCATAGGTGACTAAAAGCTTCACTCAAAGTCACCAACTTAAAATAAAGCGAGTACAGACATCTATTAAAGAGATTATTAGAGCAAGAAAATCAGAAGTCTGCTGTAAGATTTTATGCCTTTAAACCCATAAAGTCTCAACAAGACGTAGAAATTTCAGCAACAGTTAACATGTGAACATAGATTGGGGAAATCTTATGAGGCCCCCACTCCCAGATGAAGCACTATAAGCAAGTAAGAGATGGAGAATTAGTGTTTCTCAGGAATAAGCCCTGTGATTGGTTTTCTAGTACTGAGTGATCAGTCCTAGAATCATGTATATTGACAGAATTGAATAAACTCAGCAGGTTTATTTTAATGCTTTTATTTATATTGATATGTACCAGCAATGGTTAAGGAAAGGGACAACATGTGGGAGGGGGATGGGCATGGGAGGTGTAGGAAGAAGGAAGTGGAAAGGGAGATGATATATTTTAACTAAGTTAAAAAAGAAACTTTTAACTTTACCAAATATGAAATTGATAAATTATGCTATATACATCAAAGTGTGTATAACCTGACAATTTTATCTTCACATTTTCATTTGTGACCCCACAAATATGTTTACTATTGAAACAGCCAATGTTGTGATAGGGTGGGTGTATAAGGTAAGAGCATGATAATTTGGAAGCAGACACCATCATGTTTAATTATAGACTACACTACTAAAACATTATGAATCATGAAAATAATATTGTTTTATTTATATATTTATTTTGTATATATTTATATAATGTATATATAAATTCAAAAATCACAATGTTTATACAACATTTAGCCAAATGTCTGAAATAAATATTAACAAAATATACAGGTTAGACTAAGATCATTTTGTCTCTAACCTACGTAGTATCTTTGCATATGTTAGAAAAGTATATCATTTCTTTGAGATTTCATTCTTGGAGGGCAGGTCTGGCAACTACAGGAACCTTTGTGAAATTCAGTGTAGTGAATGTCCTTAGCTGTGGCATCTTTGCCCTGGAATTTGTAGCCGACAGATTAAGTGCAGGTGCCAGATTTAGCTTGCTCTGTTTCCCGGGTGTTCTTATAATGAATAATTTGTGTAACATTCAACTGTGTCTCAACTTATATCCCATTTATATCTGTTAACAAATTTCTTCTAGATAAACAGTATTTTTTATGAAGGGAGTTTCTATTGACTACATTTCGTTGCTCGAATTTAAATTTGCTGTAGAGACACCTTTCAAAAATAAGAAAGAAGTCTCAAGTTCTCTATTTTAGGACCATGTTGCCATAGACCTACTCTACTCTATAATCATAGAAGCATATTCTAAATTCTAGAGGTAGTCAAACAATTTCAAAGTCATATCTATGAAGACAGTAAGAACAGATATCCCAAACTGATTATAATATTCTTTGCATAATGATTTCAGATATCAAGAGATGGAATTCATTCTTAACTTGACAAAACAGAAAAGATACACTAATTGAGAATCTGGAGTTTAGCTAGTCTAGCTCTGGGCCCAGGCCTCAGTACATGTGGGTGCCGGGCCAGCTACAGGCCATGGGTGAAGTGGGCACCATAAGGCGTAACCGACCCTTCCCTGGGGCACCACGGCGGCGCTGGTGGAAGCAGCAACATCAGCGACAGCGACAGCCACTCTGGTGGCCAGGCTGTGGTGACAGTGAGGGCAAGGTCGAGGGCCACACCTCCATGGGCCTAACTGGGCTTCAGAAGAACGTGCTTACTGGGCAGTCAAAAATTGACACCAACACGAGTTCGAAGAAATGCTCTGAAATGCGTTCCCCACCTCAGGAAGACACAGTTGCATGTCACAAGGTCAAATGCCTGAGAAAACCATTAGCTGGAATCTATAGGAAGGGAGAAAAGAAAAGAAATGCTGGGAATGTGATCCGAAGTAAAATGAAATCCAATAAGCAGAAGATCAAAAATGCCAAGAGAGGTTCCCTGGGACTTTTTCTGAATAAAAAATTGAAAGCAGCAGAACCTCCAAAACTTCCATTCCCATCATGTCATTCTACCAAGGCAGTGGTTGCAAAGCAAGCCCTGAAAAAGTCCCTCAAGATCAAGCAGTCTTCTAGGAAAAAGTTTCAAGGGAAAAGGCAACAGAATAAAAAACTTAAAGCTTTCTATCAGGTCCGAAGGAGCTCCAGGAAGAGCAAAGCTGAGCTGCAGTCTGAAGAAAAGAGACAAATAGATCAGCTAATTGAGAGCGGGAAGGAAGAAGGCATGAAGATTGATCTCATTGATGGCAAAGGCAGGGGTGTGATTACCACCAAGCGGTTCTCCCGGGGAGATTTCATAGTAGAATACCATGGAGACCTCATTGATAAAACCGATGCCAAGAAGCGGGAGGCTCGGTATGCACAAGACCCCTCCACAGGCTGCTACATGTACTATTTTCAATATCTGAACAAAACCTACTGTGTGGATGCCACTCGAGAAACAAATCGCCTGGGGAGACTGATCAATCACAGTAAATGTGGGAATTGCCAAACTAAGCTACATGACATAAGTGGCGTGCCTCATCTCATCCTCATCGCCTCCAGAGACATTGCAGTTGGGGAGGAGCTCCTGTATGACTATGGCGACCGTAGCAAGGCCTCCATCAAAGCCTACCCTTGGCTGAAGTATTAACCATGCTGCCTCCCAGTCTCCCTGCCTCCCTGCCTCCTTCAAAGGACAAAGTGCGCTCAAAGGGAAATGATTTTTTTAACAAATATTTATTCTTAGCTAATTACTTCAAATGTTTTTAAAAATTATATTAAAGATAATTTTTCAAGTAGTATTTAAATATCTGTTACAAGTTTCCAAGGTGGACTTGAGCAGATGGCCTTATATTACCCAAACTTCTATATCCTAGTTGTTTTTGTACATTTTTACATACAAGTTGAACGTTTGTGTTTCCCACACAGTCTAAGACTCAGCACTGATTTCAGAGAATGGAATCAAACATGAATTAGGAAGCTGGTTTCTGTCCAAGATGAAAACCAGGACTTCTGCCTCACCCCACATCCAAGGACAGGTGGGAGCTAGGGTCCTGCCAGCTCCTGCTTACTGCATGGACAGGATGTCTCCAAGCTCTAGTTCTCAGCACCTTGACAAGCATACACATTGAGTGTATGCATAGTTTTCAACAAAAATTTTGCACTAAGCTAGTCTTCCCCTCTGCTTCTCCAAAGATGACTGAGCCAGGGGCTTGGAGGCCCGGCGAAGAACAGATCTCTTCCACTGGCTCCTAGCTTTTCTAGGCACCTCAAAGCCTCAGTGTGAGCAGGCAGACTGGAGGGGGCTTGGAAAAGTACTGTTCTCCTGCCTGCTGGGGCAGGTTTCCTGAAACTACATTAATTCTTTATATAAATGTGAACTCTGAATTTATTTTTTAAAAGAAATCTAGAGTTTAGATTCAAATAAATTTCATCCTGTAATTTACCATATAGTTGGTTAGTTTAAGTTTCTTTATCTTTCTCAGTAACTTGTGATGAAGGTTTTTACTTGTAAATAAAGATAATTCTGACTATGGACAGCAGTTACAAACATTACATAAGAATCTATATAAAGAGCTGGCAGGTTGTATTCAATCAAGAAAAGGCAGTTCTTTTAATTGACCAGGGATATATGGTCTTAACCAGCCAACATTCAATATATTTCATAGTGTCCTGTGTGGGGGCGGGAGGGGGTCGGAGGGATGGGGAGGGGTGGCGTGTGGGGTGGGGGCACACAGACTACCCACCCCTGCCACATTTCTCCATAGTGCTTTTGAGTGAGAATAGTAGGAAATATTAGAAGGACTTAGAATATGGAGATAAACAGATAGAAAATACAGGATAATCTCGAGAAGGCCTGGAACTTATTCCAACGGGCCCCACTGTCTCTGCCCTAGGGTATTTATAGAAATGTCAAGGGGTGGAGCAAAAGACCTCCCCCCAGCAGAGCCACGTGCAGACCATCTCAGACACCTACACTCACGCCCATGGTCCAATCATCCTCTCTATGTGGATCTGCTGGGTAAAGCCACTTGGAAACCTGAAAATGGGCTCCCACAGCCCTGCATTAGCAATTCTGATCTTTTCTGCACATGATTTGCTAAAGCTTTACCACGCTATGAAAATAATGACAGAGGCCAATGTAAGTATCCCTGAAGAGAAATAGATGACTTGCTTAGCTTTGGAAGCATGGTGTCAATTTGACGTTTTGCCTTTAAAATAGTAACATATGTAACTGGGTATCAGACTTCAAACACCACGCTCTTATGTGAACTATGAGCATTATAAAATTGCAGCTTCAAATTTTAAAGAGTGTTTTCTTATATCTGCCACCAATACATCATGGTGTTATGCTTCCAGGAGCCCTGATTGTTGTGTAAACATTAAGCTCTGTCTTTGCTTCATTCTCTTCACCGAGAGTCAGGCACACAAGGAGGTTAAGTGATTTGCCCAAGGCAATGTGTTATGCCAGTAACAGTATTGGGAATTGGACCAGCAGTCAAGCACTCAGGTAATGTAAAACCTAGATGATAAAGTCCTTTTGTTGTTCCTGGGTTTGTTTCTTACCCCATTTCTCTTTGCACTAAGATGTCAACTATACTCTTTTCCTTTATGATCTGGTTCAGTGTTTGTATGGCTCTACTAAATCACTGAGGCTTATTGTAGATGAGAGAGTTGGAGACTGTATTTATACAGTAAAAACAAATGGAACTGAGAGCTCATCATGGAGTCTATGAGTCTTTCTCAATATGATAAAAACTGCAATAAATAAGGCTCCTGACTGTATGAAGAAAAGTCATTTTTTTTTTCTGGTGAGTGATCACTTTTGTACTTCTCTTTCCTGAACTTATTTTGAAGAAGGATTGTGATAGAAGAATGATTTCTCTCAATCAGCAGCTGAATAGTAAGAGATTCTATTTTCTGTCAGCTACTGTGATTAGAAAAGAAATTGACACAATGTGAGTATAGTTCAATGTTATGTGCCAATAATAATTGAGTAAAATAGTCAGTACCATTTTTTTCTGGTGAGTCATGCTATATGTATGTTCTACTTCTGTTTAGAATATTTTGTATATTGATACAAATTAAGGACATCTTTGTCATATTGCACTATACATTTCTACCTCTGATTAAGATATTTTTATAGATTGTCACATATTTGAGGTCATTGTCCTTATACTGTACATCTGTTTACAGATTGTTTACATTTATAATGTGAAGTCATAGTCTTTAAGCTATATAGGTTTATAAGTATTACAGGGTAATAGTCACCCATGCTTGTCAAACTTATATTTATTGTAGTTAGGTTTTTTAGATAAGCAGAGACTGCTGTGGGATACTGCTATTGTATACTGGTTTAATAAAATGCTGGTTGGCAAGTAGACAGGCAGGAAGTATAGGTGGGATAAGCAGAAAAGGAGAATTCTTGGAAGAGGAAGGCTGAGTCAGGAGACACCAGCCCATCATCCAGGGAGCAGCATGTAATGGCACACAGGTAAAGCAACAGAACATGTAGCAACATATAGATTAACAGAAATAGGCTGAGTTTAAATGTAAGAGCTAGTCAGTGGTGAGCCTGAGCTAATGGCCAAGCAGTTTTAATTATATAAACCTCTGTGTGTTTACTTGGGTCCGAGCAGCTATGGACTGGGTGGGACACAGGAAAACATTTAGCTACAAGAGATATATTTCAGATAGTCTTCAAACACTTCACTTCAAAAACCTAGAGAATATGGCATTTAAATGTTTTAATAACTTAGAATTCTGTTGATATGAGACAGAATTGCTCCTGGCAACACTGATCTACTCACAAAAAGATGATGGGCAACAAGTACACTCCATATGGAGTTTGTCTTCTTCTTGGTAAAACTGGCCTATTGAGCAAAACCTGCCCTTGTCTCCACTGCTGATAGTAAGCACACTATCCAATCCAGACAAGCAAGACACAAGGAAAAGCAACTGCTAAACCTTGCCAAGCCAGGGTAGGACAGTCTTTCAAATTTTCCTGCTTTTGAAAATGGTCTATCAGATATTTTTGGCCATTAGCCAAAGTAGGATGCCCCAATGTTGCAGAAAAACATTGGGTGACTGTCCACACAGTCAGCTGTTTCTGTCATTTCTTGCATTTTTGGAACTCGCTTGCTTGCGAGTTCTACTTACTCAGGAATTATTATTTTCCTTCTCGTGTCTTTGATGGAGTTGAAGACTAGATAGTTACAATTACAATCCTCTTATATCTTAGTGAAGAACATATCAGGTACAAGACTTAGATTCTTCAGGATAGGAGAGCTATTGGATTAATCTCTGTAATTTGCCGATTACCTATGGTCTAGACATTTAATATATGTTTCTTGCTTGATGGTGTTCCTATTGGCTTTAGTTCCATTTTTGTTTGTGTTAGTACCTTTTCTTTCTTCTTGACAATTCTTGATAATTGTTATTATTGTATATAGCTTTACGTTTGGATTAGAACCCTTTAATTTAGACAAAAATGGGGATCTGTTGTCGGAATTCATTCCATTCAACCAATGGCTTTAGGGTAGAAAGCTCTAGGGCATGGTCTTGCCTGCATATGTGACCACTTAAGAGCAGAGGAATAGGGGTCATTCACTCTCTCAGGTGGTCAGAGGAGAAGCAAGACTTGCAATTTATCCCCATTGCCCTTGAGCAGAAGGACAGGACAGTGGCAGCTGGATCAGCAGGATCAGCAGTGGCATCTTCCTTGTTCTGTATTAGTGAGTCAGTATTTCCATTGTACCCCTTAATAAATTATTAAATATATGTTTGTGGGTTCACCCCTCAATGCTAAGTTTTATAAAATATTACAGCATACTACTCAATTTGATATTTATTATAGTCCCATCATGAATGAAAGACCTGATTATCATAAGTGAAACTTTTGAAATTGTAAGCTGAAATAAACCCTTCCTGCTTTGAAATTGTTTCTTTCAAGAATTTGTAATGATATGGGTAGTTTGACTAGCATGACTATGTAGAATGAGGAATGGAAGATAAAACTGTGAGGACATGGACTGAGAGGTTTAGGAACTTATTCACATATTTGCAGAATACTTTCTATGTAACTGGTCTGTTAAATCCTTGTGAAAGAAGAAAAAGTGATACAAACATTTACAATTTTTCAGTTTATTAGATGTTGGAGAAAATAGTAAACCTTTATATTGTCATTTTATCTTCACTCTTTCCGTATAAAATATGCATTTTTTCCCCTTTTTTCCCTGTAATCAGCTTTAATTCTTGAACATTTCCACGGTTCAGGTAGGTAAAATAAGTAGAAAATTCTGTCAACAAAACTTCACTTCCTTGGTATATAATATCCAAGGTGTTTGATGTAGCGTATAAGCTACAAACCTTTCATGAAAGAAGCAAATGTACTTAGAACAAAGCAATGTGGACTTCATATCTTTTATATTTAAAATAAGAGATTAAGTTTTTAAAATTTGGTGCTGGAAAGATGGCTCACAAAATAGAAGCACTGGCTGCTCTTGCAGAGGATGAAAGTTTGATTCCCAACACCTACATGGAAGTTCGCAACCATCTGACATTTTAGTTTTAGGGTATCCAGTGTTCTCTTTTGGCTTCCACAGGCACTGCATGCACATGGTGTACAGATACAGATGCAAGTGAAACATA